GAGTCTGGTTTGAATCAAGTTTGAGCCCGCTCATAATGATTCGAGCGAATCGAGTTCACAAAAGCGAATCCCTTCGTATGCTTCACGTATAATTCAGAAGAAAAAAAGGTGAAGAATGTTGAATCATGTGTGAGAGTAATGAATCCAATGTGACCGGTATGTCGTAGGGTCCCTCAGGAGCGGGAGTCTTCATTGCACGCGTCTCCCAGGCTGCTTCGGACATTCTTGGTTTGAGCTTTTGCGTACAGGAACGATCTCGCTTGCCTGGCAGGGCTCTGCGTCCGTTGTAATACGATAAGTTTTCGGGGCAGCGCTCGGAATATATTGCCCCCAGATACCCATCTTCCATCCTCCCTGGATTCATTCTGACAGGACAGCTCCAAGATGGCTGTTCTAGGCGCGAGTCACTTTCACATTCGAGGTCGTACGTGTACGAGTACCGGTACGAGGGTCGAACTCCAAGCTCCACCGCACGATGACCAGAGATATCGGAGAGTTCTCATCCTCACGGAGGGGATCGCCGCCGCCCAAGAACGGGAAATGGAGTAATGAAGTCGAGACCGAGGCATCGTGCGGATTGTGCGCGAGAAATGGGCGAATTTCGTCTCTCCTGCCGGAGAAAATGCCATGTTCGCCCCCGAATCGGTCCGTGAGATGGGAGACGGAGACGCAGCTTTGCTGAGTGACCGCGATTCCTCGGTCTTCCGGAAGACTGTATGACGCTTCAACTTGCTAGCCCGGCGAGGAGCATGATCAACTTACTCGGAAGGAGGCTCCATCGGGATAGGATCCTCCGTCGCCTCTCGTATGAGTCATTCGTAACGGAATATTGTTTCCATGGTTGTCGAATCCTTCGGGACTGTGAGGGTGAGGGGGCGCTGTCGTCTTCGCCAACCGTCGTCGTTGTTTTCTCTGAATCAGAGAGGGTGTAAGATGTCATGAGAGTCGCAGAACGACTTGAGAGACGGATAGGTCGTGACGACTGCTCAGCCTGTGCCTTATGATGCTCATACGTGCTTGAGGACGGAGGAAGAGTCAGGTGCGCGCGTCAGCAGTTGAACTTCCCTACTCGGACAGCCTATTGTGTGGAAACAGTCTCGAGTAGGGCCATCAAGCGGGTGAGGAATAATTTTGGCGCTGGTGGCGTGCAGTTGAAACATTTCTTGTTGAAAAGAAGTCTCCCTTCACTTGGGTATAGCTTCGAAATCTCTCATTCGATAGGTCGACAGTGCCTTGAGGTTTCGATACCCGGCCCTGAAGGCGCGGAGTATATCGAGTGCCCCCGCCGGAGCCAGCGCTGAGAAGACCCCAAACTGCGGAATCAGCCGGAACGACAAAAATGGTCAGTACAATGATAATCCAATGGTACAGAATCCTCAGAGGATCAATCGAACGGTCAGGTTCTAGAGCATCGGTGGAGCTCCCCATGATCCTCCGGTGGCCTCTCAGCATTCCTCTTCAACATCTCTTGACAAGCCGTAAAGCGAGGTCTCCGTCGAGCGTTCGAGAGGCATCTCGGCCGGAAGAAGTTATCGACTCCTCCCGGACACGAGAAGCTCCTGGAAAGGGAGCTTCATACTGGATACACTTAACATTGACATTGTTTCATTTTACTCGTCGATACCGTACGTTTTTGAGCGCGACGAATCGACTCCTCTCCACAGTACGCACCCTTCCTCGATGCTCTCACTTCAGCCGAAACCGAGCTCCTGGTACCAGGTCATTGGCTACCCGCGGAGATTTTCTTGACGAGACTGTCTGAGCTTCTTCATCTACACTCATATAAATTGAGAGACCTCATCCACCTGATTCCCCGAGTCTGCCCCGGCGTCGTGGAGTTCAGGACCTTCAGGGATCCCGAGAGTCGCTTACCAAGCTACTTCGTCAAATCGGTGAGTTCTCTCCCGCCGAACCGCGCGTGATCGAGTTCTGTCGATACGGCTTCGTATCTTTCCGAGTGGATTCTCGTCCATTATGTGTCCGAAAGAGTAGATTTTCGTGTTAACTCGGCTTCTTGACGTTGCAGATGATCATGCCGAAAAAAAATACCGCGGTTATCCTCTGAGAGCGGAGATCGAGGAGACTGCCTCGGTGAAGGATTCATCACGGAGAACTTCGGTCAAGTTCTCGATGCTTCCAGCGCACGCGGGAGCGATGGGTAATTGGAAGCCTCTGGAAATATCCAACATGAGCGCCGCGCTGCGCGCAGGGAAAGGCTGCGTCGCCGCTCCCTCCGATTTCGTCCTCGGTGATTGTCAACACGAGGCCGCCGTAGAGGGGGAAGCGAGTGACGAATGGTGAAACGTCAAGAGACGGATCAGAAGAATTTGAACATAAGGAACGATTTTTCGGATCGACGATGAATTGGTGGTATATGAGATCTATCAAGAAAGGATCCTGTATGGAATGTTTGGCATGGAGTGTTTTATCTTGGCGTATCTCTGTTGTTCCCTCTCTGACTTCCCGATTCCCCCGCAAATCGAGACCATACGCATAATGTTTTGCCGTAGGATCCCGTCTACGGCAAGACGGAGCTTTATACGGAACCTGCGAAATACGCGGATCGATGTGTCCGTGCGGCCTCGAGCGCGTCCTCGTCTCCGCGAAAAGCCGGGACTCGAGTGAGCGGGCTCGCAGCCGCTTCCTCTTCCGCGGCGTGCGCTGTTCCGCTTTCTTCTGGAGGCCGTTCGAATTTGAACTCCATGTCCGCCATCGACGGTCACATCCATTCTGCATCGTATTACCACTCACTCAACTCGAAGAGGAAAGCCTGCCCGTCTCGAGTTTTTGAGAGCTTCCCGTGTGTCGGACAGCCCGTTCATTTAATTCATCTTCGAGGGAAGATCGATGTGGGTCGCTCGAAAGGGAACAGATTTCACTGTGGAACCCAGCGTATAGACACCCGGATCAAACGAGGTCTTCGATCGAGGATAGCTCCAGAGGAATTTTTTCCCAGGCAGCTAGGTGCGAGGTCGGTGGCGGGTCCAAGAATCCTCCGAGGGCACGGGGGCAGTCAAAACAGTCCCGACGCCTCTCACCTACTTCTCACGAATTCTCAGGAGGCTGAATCAGCAGTTGCCCATATTGTACACGGATCTGACCGGAGGACCAATCGCTAATTCGCTAAATCCGTGGATGACTAGAGGAGGAGTCGCTGTTACTGACACTTCCCGAGAGATCATGCATCGATTAAGTCATTTGAGTTTCTGGCGCCGATACAATCGTGTAGATCAATCTGAGATGACAAGTGCTGTCGAGCCCACCGTGACAGATTTCCATCTCGCGCTCATTCTCTTATCCGTATACGATGACTTCCTCAGAGAGAAGATGCGCACCCAGACGGAATTTCCGCCACTCAAACGGGAATCGGCCGCGCGCAGCGGCGCGTAAAACAGTTTTCATGCTCATTCCGAGGGACGGAGTGAATGGAGTACGATATGAATGAGTCGAGAATCGTAAAGGGAAAGTGCGCGTAACCCATTTACGTCTCGTCTACAGCGTCTCTCTCCCCTCTGAAGGTGGCACTCGAAGCCGCCGTAGCCGCAGCCGCTGAGATCGGAGGAAAAGAGCTCCGGTGTTGCCGCTACCGAAGCCCGTTGGGGGTGTCCTCCAGCTTGGCGGTGGATGTCACGCCGACGGTAGCATCGCACAGACGGTCACGGATATACGGACCGACGACCTCAGTCGGGATCGACAGACAGGCGAGCGGGCCGAGGGGCAGGCGGGCGGGCAGGGGAACAGCCGGCAAGCATCGAGTTGCGAAGGAAGGAGCGCGCGCGAGCGGATCTCGATGCCTCCGGGTCGGAGGTTGTTTGGAAAAGCCGCCTCACTGAGTCACAGGCTACGTCGTCGTCGTCGTCGCTTCCTCGTACAGGGTATACGAAACGCGATGTAAGGACGCTCGAACGTATTGCGCCGTCATTGAGCTCGCTGCCTGGCTGTCTGCCCGCGCGGGTGGGCCGGCGGGCTGCCTTACAGGGGAGGGATGATTGTCTGGAAGATACGCAGGAGGCCCCCCAGCGGCTGGCAGGAGGCCGCTCACCCGCAAGGAGGTTGGACTCTACCGGGTTTGTCGAAGAGGCGGCGGCGGTAGCATCGAATACGTACCCTCCGTGCACGGTGGCGGCGGCGGTAGCGGCGGCAACCGAGAAGCAGCAGAGAGTGTGGCTCGGTATGTGTGCCTTGTCCATGTATGAGCGTATGTGAGTGTAGAGAGGCAGCAGCAGCAGCAGCATACAGGGAGCCCTGCCCTAGTGTACGAAGTCGTAGTCGGCGACGGAATAAGCCGAACTGATCTCACGCGATTGGGCTTAAAAGCTGTTTTGACGTTCATAGCCCGTACTCGGATCGTCATTAGCCACATGGCCCATCCAGCTCACCTCCGAACGACGATTTGAACTGTCAATCGGTCGATTTCGTCCACCCGTGACTTCAGTCGACCCACGACTGGCGAGCATCTATCTGTTGATCAGCCAACCGGAGACGTTGGTCGGTTCTTCCGTCCGATTATCCATCGAGTCGAGGATGTGTTCTCCAGCATCCACTCCCCCCGAGTCGAGACGGAGACGATAGCCTGCAGGACACGAAAACAGAGGGAAGGAATTCTGGAATGTCACCTCATTGACTACTCGAACAGTCTCGTCGTTCCCGAACGATACTGGCGTGAATACGAACTCGGACTTCTTGCTCGACATGAATGGGCTAGACGGGATCATTCTGCTCAAGGCTCGTCAGACCGAGCTACCAACCATTGCTCAATTGGATGATCGAAGGATTGTGAGCTTGATTCGATCGCAATCGTGAACGGAAGTCCACCATCGGTCAGTCGCTGTTCCGACGGACGATTCGGGGATAATAATTATTCTGCTCGGAAGGAAGGCCTGGAAAAGAAGTGTTGTCGAGGAATGGTGTTCCCAATGAAGAACGGATGTGTACGATGAGAGGAGTGCCATTCGCGTGGAAACTCGTCACATCGAGGCCCACCTGACGGCTGAGCAGACATGTCAAGCGAGCCCTCAGACGGGTGAGTATTCGCCTTTCGATATCGTCATAGGATTGCGTTTCGAGCCCCCTGGCTCCTCCGAGCCACGGAACGCCGTGCCAAAAGGGCGCGTATCTCTCATTTGGTGCAGGCTCGGTCGATTCTGCGGACAATACCAGGCCTTAAGCTTCAGTCATGACGATTCCCGGCAGCTGATGAGTGCCAGATAATCGGCAAAGTAATGGAGAGGTCCGCACGACGAATCGAGTTCGAATGTCTTTCTTAGGAAAGGAGCTGCTCCATCGAAGCGGGGTCTCGAAGGGGTGCTCGGGTCGTCCTTAGCGGGAATACTGAACGACGTCTCTTTGCAGGAATAACACCAACTGCCTGATCCGGGTTCGCGCCCAAGTTATGGTGCGCGATGACTCCACCGGAGGATGGGTGAGTTTGACAGGCCTCGAGAACGGGCGCCGCTAACTATGTCAGAATTCTCTTCGTTCGCTTCCATCGCCTCTCCTTGACGATAGCCGGGAAAATTTGCTCCCGATATCCCATTTCTCTGGAAAAAGTTAAGGTCTTCCTCATCTGGCAGTATAAGTCGAAGTTACCTCATCCCCCTTGTTCAAAATGCCGAAAAAGGAGCTTGCTCGACAATGATGATGATCAGATGTGCGAATGACACCGTTATTTTTGGTCTCAGGTTCCTCTGGGCGGAGGCGGGCTCTCGCAAGTGTCTGTTCGCAAGAAGCTCTCGCTGGTTCCGCAGGAGGAAAATACTTCCGGTCCGAATCAGGGCAGTTGTAATTACACAAGCTACAAAACCGATTACCAAATCTATGGTAAACGGATCAGCGATCAAAATGTCGTTCTATCATGCGGTATAAACAAAGACTTCCTCTACAATAAGGTTAGTTCCCACGCAGCTCCGGAAATTTTCAGTAATTCATCAAACGCGAAGGGGAGACGGTGCTGCTCGGATAAGCATCGGAAGCGGGAATACATATACTCTCGCCAGCGGCAGGATTATCATTATTATTATTCAAATTTCAAGGTCATGCCAACATTCCACCACTGGCAGAGTGGGGAGAAGAAATACGGGTTGACGTTCCAGACATCTTCTGACGCAAGAGCTTTCGACCACGCCGTTCATGCAGCCGTCGATGATCTTTTCGAACGTAGGTTCCCCTCAATACAGATTCCTCCGCGTCTCCTTTTTCCCTACCCCGTCGTCGGTTTTTCTTTCTCAGTTCGAACAATCGCTCGCTTCATATCCGGGGAGGATGAGGAACTCAGATTCCCTTCCCTCGGATATGCTGCTCACTGACTAATGAATATCTATGCTTTCCCATGCACCTCGACGAAAATCTTCCCTGCTATTGCAAATCCGTGAGTATCATCATATTGATGTTCATTTGTGAGCGTCAAAGCGGATTCCACGGGCTTGTACCAGTGACCGGGAGTGAGATCCCTCGCTGACTCCACTCAATGAATCTATTCCAGATATCGCCGATAATCTTCCCCGTCAATTCCTTGCTGCTATGGACTCCTTTCAATTTGAAGATGATGTATTCATGTCGCTTGAGCTTCCCACGGCTTCGCCGTCCGCCGGGATGACTGCCGCGGGTGCGGATCGCGCGGCTGGTCCGGCAAGCGCTTTCTCGAGACATCGGCTCCCAGTCCACACAGTCAGTGCCCCGATTCCGTGCGGAGGTGGCCCGAATCCGAGCATGCTCGGATCTACCGTGGGAAATATCAATGGCGGCCATTTCCACAGGATAAACTACCTAAACCCGCCGAGGTGAGTCGCGAGAGCCCGAATTCGACGTCGCTGTAGATCGAATGCATGGATTTCCCTGTTAAGCCTCGCAGGGCTTTAATTCCTCGGCGCGGATATCGATCCCCGCAGCTGAATCGTACTCCTCCGTCGCAGAGCTGTACCAGCGCCACCATCTGTTGCATCGATCAGCTCAGTGTCGGGGACGAGTTTCACGGGATCTCCATCTCCTCCCCTGCCGCCTCCACCGATGTTCCCTCCAGCCTCGTCGACACCGGATAGGGAAATGAGAGCCGATAGCAATTCTCTAAGCAGCCATCACAGTACTTACAACTACGGACATTCAACTGCTCAAACCGATTTTTGTTTCGTTGACAGCAACACAGTACAATCGGTGGGTTCCTTGTGAATGGGTACCCGATTTCACGGATATCTCAAGCAGATGATGAACTCATCCACTCTTTTTGATTCGGTCAAATATTCTCTCACGCTGAGAGATGAAAAATCCGATCCTGGGAATGTCTAAGAGATGGGACTCTTTCAGAGCCAACCGGGCACCGGCGGTGGATGCGGGAAACCGGCGTTGCCGCTCCCGTCTAGATCGCCTTCGACGTTGCCGCTCCCGATAAAGAAGAAGGGCGGCAAACCCGGTCGGGGGAGCGACGATTCTACATTCAGGAGATGTCGGCACTGTTTAGCGGATTTCTCCGTGGAGGATAACCCACGCGGAGTTTGCAACAACGGTCCGGATACAATCAGGGCTATCATCGAGCACGTAACGTGTCACATCTGTGCCCAGAGACTCGTATACACTTGTGTGGGTGACGAAGACGACGACGATGAAGACGAGGATTCTGGTCAATTTCTGCGACGGAAGCTAAAACGCTGGGCCGCGTTCACCGCCTTGAGTTTCGTTGCGCCGTGCCTCTGTTTCTATTTTCCGTTAAAAATATGTCATCACTACGGCAAGTCCTGCGGCTTGTGCGGGGCGCGCCACGAACGCGATAGCGGTCGATGGGGCTCATAGATGTTATCGCTCGCACTATTCCAAATGAATGATTACACTTACGCCAAAGATTATTTCATGGAGGACGCCTTGGAGAACGTCGAAGGGTAACTTCTGGGGATACGGACTCCGACAGCGTTGTTCTCACCGGCATCGGGGCTAGCATCGCCGTCTCATTCTCCGGCGGAGGATTCCTACAAAATTCCTCCTCATTCAATTCCATGGGCGAGAACGCTGCGAATCAGATCCGAGTTCCTGGAGAGTGAGAGCTTGATCCCGGTTTCTTCTCGTCGATCGTCGCGCTGGTCGCTGCTACCCTCGCTCCGGGTCCCGGTCTGATGTAAATGAGAAATTGAGGTTCGATCATCGAACGATGGAGTCGCTCCAACTCACCAGAAACCTCGACGAGGTAAACCGATTCAAGCTTCTCCGATCCTGCAGTCGGCATCATGTATATCTCGCAAATACGGGGTAAGGGGAAACAGAATGAGCTCGACAGAATCCGTCGTGACCCGAGCATGTTTCGAGGAAGAAGCTCGATGTCTCTTTGCGGAGGCTCTCAAAGATCCAGTTGGATTTGGGCTGGTCGATCGAAAATGCGAGCGTGGATTGTATTCTTCAATGCAGCAGAGCGATCGGCAGAAACAACAAATCAGCAATCAAGCCATCCAAGGACCGGAAATCAAGTTTTGAGAAACTAACAGAATTCCGTCGGTGGAGCCGCCGAATACTGCCGAACTCGATGCAAAATTCTAATTCCGCGATCGTCGGATTAGGCGAGTTGGGTCATCTTGCTTTGCTGATTTGTTGATGACACCCGTATCGCATTAGAAATGCGACGCATGAACGGCATTCAGGGACGAAACTTCTGCGGCAGTCGGTCGCCGAAAACTGAGAGAGCAGTGAGGCAGCCGGCGACTGTCAGTCAGCTGTGATGACGTCGGTCGAGCAGTCTCACGCGTGACATTCTCGGCTAGAGAACGCAACCTTATACGAGGGAAGGGGAATTTGCTTCGACGTCGAGTCGGTGGCGTGCCAGCCAGTGAAACAGTCTGCGCGTACTGCTCCAAGCGAATGTCGACGAGTCCACGCAGTGAATGTTAGAACTCGTGATGCTCAAACCCCCAGATTGCTCCATAAGCAAGCCGAGCAACAAAGCAAGCTGTCATACCCTGGCAGAGCCTCTAAGTGTGATAATGATGTGTCGCGTATAATATCAAAGCAAAGCCTACGTACGGAAGTTAGATAACCCTCGATGAGAATCATCATGACAGAACATCAATCAGTCAAGCCGTCGAATCGTTCCATGGCCTCTCGTCGCAGGTCGAGGCTGCGGGAGTAATATCGGCACTCCGGTGTTCGGTGTAGAGCTAGAATCAGGCCTTCCGTTCACCGTCGATTATTTCAAAATGCTAGGAGAGCTCATGCGGACTTTCCCGGACTCTTCCGGAACAATACACCCTCCAACCCCCTCGACTCATATTTCCGCCGCCGCGCCGGTGATCATTGATTCGAAAATCCCGAGAAGCAATCTGCGCGGTCTCACTTTCGAGGCATTCGAGCCAAGAGCGAGGATTGTAAGCATATCAAGTCGCCTTGGCTGTTTCATGGAGAGCCGGAGTGAATTCTTTCTTTGTAGTCTCTCGGGAACCGTTGCCGAACGATCATATTCTGCCCCTCGAGGTTCGACAGACAGCTGCAGCTCATTGTAAGAGCATCTCGCCTTGGCTGTCCACTCGCTTCATAGTTATCGCCGATGCTCCCAGACGAAATTGAATGATGAGATTCCTCGAAGGGATTGCGCGGTCCCCATCTGCATCCCGAGCACGGTCACGCGCTGAGCTCTCCGCAATCCGTCGAGAAAGCCGCAATCACTTGATGAGTTCTTTCATCGCTGCGATTACCCTGGAGCTCCATAATCCGACTTCTCCACTTCTGCTGTTCTTGGAGCCATACGCCGGAATCGCGCTCGTATTCCCGCTAACGATACAATGCCGTACAAAGGAAATTATAATTGCGGCTAGTCCTGGACGAGGAACCCGAACCTCAAGAATCCCCCGTAGCCCCGGGACTTCCGAAATTCTGATCATCTATCAACTAATCATTGACGTTTGCCAAGATTGATCGCTACTCTGGAAATTCTCATCTTCTGTCGGCAGGATTCACTATGAAACTACGATCAGGAGATCGCCGCGTAATTCCCGTCGTTTCCTTGGGATCGCCGTTCTTACTCAAGCCATGGAAAGACCCTATAGCAAACGAGGTATTTGGATGATGTTCCGAAGTTCTGCTCCGATTTCATCAGCTCCGCAGCAAAGCCACTTCAGCTGTTGAGCGCTGGAGCAGCATTGCTCTCCTAAAGGGATTCACTGAGCTGAAAAACTCCATGCGACCGGCATTCTCCCTTCTTAAGCGCTTCTTGTTCTGATTCAATTCTGTTCGGATACGGCAGCGTCCTCAACAGAATGCTTGATCAGGATCCTTCAAAATCATTATAAAATGTGAAGGCTTCCTCCCTGTGTCCGATCACCTCGGAATCCGTCTGACGTTCCTGTGGATCGCAGTTGAATCATCCTCCGATTCTCTGGAATACTCGACCTTCCGGTGAGCCTATGATCTTTCGCCACGGGCGGGGTTTTTCTATTTTTCCCCGCTCCGACCCCACCGCAGAACGCCTCAAGGGCCTGTGGCTCGGGGTTCAGGTACCGGAATTCGGTCGGCGATGGCCCGAGGAAGCTACTCGAGCATTCAGCTTAAATGCGGTTGGCTCCCGTTGGGAACCCTGAGGGACCTCTACGTCAACTTTGAGGAAGTTATACGGGAACCCAGAGGAGATATTATTTCATGAATGCTCCGAGAAAAACACGCAACGCTCACATACGGACCGCTTAAAGCATCCTTCCATTCGTCGGTTGTCCTCTGGAAGAGACGAATGAGATTGCTGCGTCACTGACTGACGAGAGCATCATTCGAAGTTATGCTACACACCCGATATCCATCGGTTTGTATAAATTGTCTGTAAAGTACAACATTAAGTACCGATAGGCAGTTTTCATTTGTTCATTGCCACAGCTCACCTCTTCCCTTGTATGAGAAATGATTTGAACCGTCGTGGGTACGATTTCGAGGCCGTCCTCGAGTGTGTTGCAATTAAAACGACTGATCATAAGGCGGCATAGCCTCACAATGCAGATTCGATGTCAAGCGGACGATGGGTGGGAGCTCATAATTGCATCTTGACGTTGAATATACAAAGGTGGACTCCGAGCGATATCGAGCAAACATGCAACTGCATGCGAGAAGCATCAGGACTCAATTATACACAATATATATATTTATAAGTAGAAAAGTAGCCTACTCTTCCCTCGAGACAAAACAGAACCCGGACATACCTTGAGGCACGAGCCGACTTCGGTATTTGACGAAAGAGTTACGTATTGCTGTATGAAGACTTGTTATATAAGAAACAGAGGTTCAAATCTGAACGGTACGGTTCCCTAAGATTCCGCGAAGCATCGCGTTCTCTTCAGTGGCTAAACGTGGGAAAGATTAGATCGGATCTTCTCTCACTCGCGATTAGGCTCTCCGAATGGTAGTGTGAATTACTGTTTTCAAGATTATCCATGCTCCTGAGGTATCCGACACTCCGGCTCCGAAGGAGCTGGTCTATAATGCCGCTAGCGAGACACACGATCTTGAAGCGACAGCCTTACTCTCCGAGAGAATTGTTACGATCGATTGCTCGATCCTGAGACATACATTCGCAGTCGAGAGTCACTCAACCACAAATTAGGGAGCTGTCACTCTGACATATGGAGAGAATCCAAGCATTATCGTTATCGTATCCAGTGATGTTGATCTATTGCTCTCTGGAGGCTGAGCTCTGGATAGCTGAATCGGAGTCCGTTCAAGACCTCCTCACAAAAGACACAGAGATCAGAATCAGGCGGTGTATAACGCCTGTTATTTTCACTTTCGCTCTTAAATACGTCATAGGACGGAAACGTTAGGAATGCTTCTGACATAAAAAAGGAACGTCTTCACGATTTACTACTTGAAGTGTTGAATCTTATCTCATTCCTCACAACAATAGCAAAGATAGATCGACGTAACATTAACGTCCCGTAAACGTTACTGATCGCCTTATCGATTGACGATAAGGTCGACGATGACTGGATAATTGCTTTCGTTGTTGTTGATCGAGCTGGAAGGAAGGTGGAGAGAGGGACAAATATTCGCAAGCAAACAGGAGGGCTCGACCACAATGGTTGTTGATGAAAATCGACGTAATCTATCTATATCCAACCAAAGTTGATACCCAAGTGATATCAATTCACACTTCCGAACTGGAGAAGATTTCAATTATCGAATGAGTGCCGAAATGAAGTCTCAGACAAAATACAGAGCAGGAAACAATAAACCGATCGACGGCTCACCGATACAGTTTCTGTTGGCTTGAGTGAAGCAGTCAAGAGAAGATATTTTATTGAGCGAGCATTGTACATTTGTAAATTAGAAATATACCGAATATCGAATGGCGAACATACGTTGGGAATAAATATTATAGCAATTATCAGTGTTCAGAAGAAGAGTGTCTCTATACGGGGTCAGGTATAATCAGCTTCCTCCGCGGCTCGAAAGTCAGAGGATGGGCTGAACTCCAGGAATCATGTGGAGGAACAAAACGTATGACACAGCCTTCGAATCATCTAGCGGCTCCCGTATCTTGGCGTATAGGAGCCGCAGCGCAGGACTAATTACACAGCCCGACAGCCAAATCGTTACAACGAAAGTGATGGCTATTTCGGGGTAAACCGGAGGCGCTGAAACCGAATTTCTTAACAGACTTTCTCTATCAGGTCCAGTTTTTCTGAAATTTCAATTTTTCGATTTCTTGCTATTTTTCGTCCACAAAATTCTCTAACCCCGCTCCTGAGTGGACTAGATCGATGAAACTTCGGTGGCGGATAGAGCTCGGTTAGAGCTATTCCTGGCCGAGTTTTGGTGCGATTCGTAACAAT